TATTCAAGAGTATAACAAATCCATATAAGAATTACATTCAAAAGAACCAAATCTCTAATGATTATCCTTACCTATTGACTAGACAAAAACGGGGTAAAAATTATTTAAGACCTTGTTAATTATTTATTTTAATATTAATTATTGAATGAAGCAAGAAATTTTTAACACTTATAACATGAAAATACCTGTTATTTTTTGTTCTTATTTACAAATTATTCCAATTTATTTATAATTCAATCTGAAAATACAAAAATTTTATTTTTTTTAATTATTCAAACCCATTTTCACCAAAATTTAAATAATCAGATGCCTTATTTACTTGTGATAAACAACCAATAATGACATAATCATTAAATTCATTAAATTAACATCTAATTTAACTCATATGAAAATAAGATTGCATGCTTTGATTAACCAAATACTTAATTGGATTCATTAAAAATTGAGTTTATGTAATTTAGAAATAATAATTTAAATATTATGTTCTTCTGCATTAATTTTTGACAAAAATTCAGACATATCATCTATGCAAAATCCTGCTAGCTCTAATTAAAAATTCGAGATAATAATTTTTTATCGAGATTTATTATAGATATCTCTACACTTTACCAAACTTAACATGAAAATCCCAGTTCTTACTTAAAAAAATGATAAATTGATTATTAGTGTTAAATTTTTATGCAGATATTTTTGTAATCTGATTTCTTTTTATAAGAATTTACCACTTATGGCAATAGCCAATTCTTGCTGAAAGAAGTTATAAGGTAAAAATACTTATTTACTGATGAATTTTTTATATTTTCTAGTTATATAAATTTATTTTAGTATCAATGCTTAGGAATATCCAATTAATATTGCTCATCTAATCTTCTGAAAGATTTGATAATAAAAAAATTGAGAATACATTAATTTGTTTCTAAGGGGTTGGTAATTAAGAATCGCTTGAGAATAAAACATTAACTTAGGAAATTAAATAATATTATAATTAGAGCAAATTTCCTGTTGACAATTCTAATAAATAATTTGGAGATACGATAATAGATTTTTCCTAATTTTGAAAAAGACCCAACTAAATATTGTATAATAATTTATATAGATTTATTAATTACTGTATACATCCATTGGTTGTAAATAGCACAAAAATTTTATCTAAAATTCTTTTAACCATATTTTTATTTGATTAAATATTAATTTTTATTATTAGTACATTAGTCTAGATGATTTTGTTTAAATATAGATGAGACATCAAGAATATTAAATTTATTAGGAAAGTCATGGTTACATTTTATATATTCATTTAATCGTTGTCTATCTAAAATTTCTATCTCAATTATTGAGTTTAAATTTCAAATAATCTACATAACTTCGTTGTTTTCCTTAATAAATATTCAGGGTTTTGTACAAACTATATAAGCGAACATTGTGATTTCCAACCAAGAAACTAAATATGAAAATTAAGAACTTTTTTTATTCTTTAATATATCTCTGAATAATTCTATGTTAAGTCTCAATTAAAATTCTTTTTAATTACTTTTTGGTTTATAAAGAGTTGAAATTAATAAGAAGATTATATCTTTCATTAATATACTTTTGTAGCTCCAAAAAGTTTAAAAGAGGACTTAAATACTTAATAAATAAGCGTATAACCAATAAGTGAAAATTATATCATGATTTTTATCTTTATCTTGATTAGAGAAGAAGATTAATTAAACAGCAATTAAAGCTCTTATTGATTTTAGAAAATCTCAAATAAAATGAATCATAGCTTTTTAATTATTGTTCAGCCAACTATTTTGGTAACTGGAACAATAAAAGACATATGCTTATGAAATTGAATAATTCTTAGATATCAAAAAAGCAGTGAAAGTAAATTTATTCTTAAGGCAAGAATTTTGAAATCAAGCCTGAAATTTTTGATTTTTAATAAATCTCACTATATTGTTGATATATAGTACTGCACAACAAGACACTTTATTTTGTTATTAATTCATCTAGATTATAAATGATATTTCAGTGTGAATATTTAATCCGCCTTGAGTAAAATATTAGTTGAAGTTTGCTACACTTAGAGTAGCAGAAATTCCATTCACTAATATAATTAAGTATAAGCTAAATCATACATATTTGGCGTGTTTTCTGCACTTTTTTTTATTGTTCATCAGATTAATTCTGACTTTTTAATTCTTAATATTTAAGCACCTAATTATTCAAAATCAGAAACTGAAAATTCAAGGTTTTGAAGCAATTTTTATGATTTTTACAAGACTTATAAACATTTAATAGAATGATCTTTGTTATTTTTGTTTGAGATCCACAAAATAAATTGTTATTATTTTTCTATTTAATTAAGGAAAAGGAGAGCACTTTTAAATACCTTATTTTTTCCTTATGAAGGTCAAACAGTATAGTATATTCTAAAGACCATGAAAAGATATTAGATAGCCAGCTTGCACATTCATTAGACACTTTTGTGAAGATATAAAAGTTTAAAGAGTTTTTTAATATTGATTCTCCTGGAGCAGAGAATTCCATTGCTACAGAAAGAATAAGAGAAGATGATTTTAATTGAAATAACAGCAGCATCAAGATATTTAGAAATATGGAGAAGGAATTTTTATGAAAAATTAAACATTTAAGAGCAGCGATTTTATTATTTTGATTTAAATGAGAAGAAAAATAGCTTAAAAAGTGGTCTCATTTTTTAAATCATTCAAATAAGAAATAAAGATGTTGATAAATAATTTGTCAAATAAACATCACTGTTATTGATGTTATGTGTGAGATTTTTAGAAGTAACATTGCCATCTTTAAAATTTTTTAATCAATGAACAAATAATGTAGTTCTTTTAAAAACAAAAATAAATTGAAAATAACCATATCCTAATTGCCATCTCTGTTTGACAACAAAAATCTTTCCTAAATTAGAGTTATTTAATTAATTTTAGATTATAATAAATTTAAGGAGCTTTTTCCTGGTTTAAAATTAGATTACTAGCAATTTACTTAGATTTAATAACAATAGTAAATCAAAATAAAACAATAATCAGTGAATAATTTAATCAGTATTCCATGATCATGAAAGATTTTATCTTGTCTTTAATTCAATCTTATACACTTCACTTATTAATAAATTTAATAATATTCAATTAAATAAATTGAAGATTGCAATTCAATTGTTATCAACAAAGATTCCTCAATTATGGTTGTTGGATGTTCGAAATAAATTAAAGTATTTGAATTTAACTAAGGAGTATTAAATTAATATTAACTTTTAACTGAACATGCACATAATGTATAAACATAGAATCTCATGAAGAAATCAAATCATTTAATATCAGGGAGTTTAGTTTGATTGTTGTGTGGGTAAAAATAAAAATAATTCATCGATTTGTCAATTTAATTGAATATACATAAAAGTTGGATCAAATATTTGATATTAAACAATAATGAAGATATTATTGTGTCTGGAAGTGCTGATAGGTGGTTTTGTTTGTCGACTATTATGGATGATACTAGTAAAGTATATAATTGCATTTCCTATTTAGTTCTTAAGCTTTTTATACACTAAAGAATTGAATTTCCTTTGATAGCAAAATCAATTTTTCATAGAGCCAAAGTTCTTGAAGGTTCCCAATCGCTACTACATTAAAAGTTTAATTATTCTAACTTTGTACTTCAATAGCCTAATTCTAAATAGTAATTTGATAAAAATTATAATTTATTATAAAACTATCTTTTTTTTACTTCTAATTTTTCAGGATTACCTAAATAAAAATATATCATTTTCAAAATTTCTAAGCAAGGACTTGAATCTTTATAACATCACTCAGATATTGATTGAGAATATAATCTATCTATCTATCTATC